TGTTGGGATCAGCGCTGTTTCTGCAGCTGCTGGTGGACTTTCTTGGTGGAGGTGTGTGATTGGCCCCGCCCCCCGCTGCAGGGCCAAATTGCACGATAAGGACAAACATTTCTAACTTCAGATGGAAGCCACTTTTCTGAAATTGAGGTTTATTCGGCCACCAGGATGCTGTATCTCTACTGGATGTGATTAGATGAGTTGGCGAGGCGGTCCTTGTTGGATTGATTTGGCCCTGCGGCGGACACATCACCACCGCTCCCAAATTCTTCCAAAGTTGGTGTGAGCCAGTTTGCAGAGGTTTCTCTCCTTTTCTTTTATTCCAGCAACACGACTTTTTACTAACACGTCCTGAACCCTCCCCCCTTTCCCTGCATCTGTCGGGCTTTTCTGTCAAGTGAACGTGTTGCATTCCTCCAGAGTCTCCGGTAAATACGGCTGATCTTTGCACAGTTTTCCTTCAGGAATTCTCTTTCCCTCTGCCCTGTGATGCTTTTACACAAATGTCCGTGCACACACACAAGTCCAGGAACACGTACGGGATGTGCCTCCGTGCACGCCAGCAAACAGGCCGTGAAAACTCGTGCTGATTGTTCTCCGCTGTGTTTCCAGTGTTGCGCTTTATTTATAAAAACCCTGTCCTCCTTTTGTTGTTCGTTGCTTTTTTCTGAGGAATTAGTTGGAACAATCGCCACGTTGAGCTTTACAAGAAAACACGATTTAAAAATACATATCCGCTTTGGCCCAACGGCAAGGAGAAAGCTGCATTTAGATAATCCGTGGGAATTCTGAGCTGCAGATTTGAATTGTCTTTGCTGAAAACAAAGATCCTTTCTAACCAGGCTGGAAGTGTGGGAGGTTCACAAGTGGCTAAGCTGCTGCTGTTCCTCCGGAAGCAAAGCTTTGTGACTTGAAGCACCGACGAGGGTTTGCTTTCCCCTTCTAGTACAAACACAACACTTAACTCGCCTAAATCCTGTACTTTTGCGCCGTAACCCCTCCCACACATGCAAAAACCTTGGTATCGTTCCCGGATGAAGGCCAGACTTCGGGATTCCTTCTTGTCTTTGAGGAACGTGTTTTTGATCTTTCATGGAAAGTTTAGACTTAAAGGTGAGTGGACGACCGGAGCATACGGAAGCGTGTTGCTGTCCGAGCGAGGAAAAAAAGAGCAGTTTCTCAATCAATCAATCAATCAATCAATCAATCAATCAATCAATCAACTTTATTTATATAGTACTTAATCCTACAATGCATGCAACTCAACGTGCTTAACTAATTAAAAAGGCCCCACATTCCCTCCCATCCCCAGAACTTTAAAAACAGACTGGCAATAAAAAACCTTCACAACACTCATCCTAAGGCACACACACACACACACACACACACACACACACACACACACACACACACACACACACACACACACACACACACACACACACACACACACACACACACAACACTCATCCTAAGGCACACACACACACACACACACACACACGCCCCCCCTCCATGGAAAAAACACAATGGGCTGAGATCAGATGAGCCAGACCAGCTAAGATAAGGATTACGGGCTCGACACACGGGAGGCGACTTCGCCTATCCTCCATTCATTTTCAATGAGACATGCACGACAAAGCGATAATCGCGGGTCTCCAACGCGAAAAACGTGCGTGTGAAATTTTGCGCTTGTGCACGTGTCGTGCACAGGCGACCCAGCGACGCGATCCCAGAAAGTTGAAACATTTTCAACTTTTCATCGCTGTCGCTCGGACGAGGACCAATCAACGGAGGTTTCATTCACTGACCAATGAGCGGACAGGATGCTCCGTACACCTCCGAGCAAACATGGAGGAGAAGTTGATTATTATTATGTTTTATAGTAAAATCAGAAGTAAGATTTCACATAACTCTAGCAGCACCTTGTGAAACATCATATCTACCACTTTATTAACTCTGAACCGCTCAAATAACCTTAATTCCCTCCAACCTGACACAGCCAAACAAAACAACGGAAGTTACGATTTCGCCATGGAACAGAACGCGTAGACGGCTTTGCCGCTGGCCGCTGCCGCGGGTCGCCTCCCGTGTGTCAGGTAATAAAAGCGACAGCGGCAAAACCGTCTACGCGTTCTGTTCCATGGCGAAATCGTAACTTCCGTTGTTTTGTTTGGCTGTGTCAGGTTGGAGGGAATTAAGGTTATTTGAGCGGTTCAGAGTGAATAAAGCGGTAGATATGATGTTTCACAAGGTGCTGCTAGAGTTATGTGAAATCTTACTTCTGATTTTACTATAAAACATAATAATAATCAACTTCTCCTCCATGTTTGCTCGGAGGTGTACGGAGCATCCTGTCCGCTCATTGGTCAGTGAATGAAACCTCCGTTGATTGGTCGTCGTCCGAGCGACAGCGATGAAAAGTTGAAAATATTTCAACTTTCTGGGATCGCGTCGCTGGGTCGCCTGTGCACGACACGTGCACGAGCGCAAAATTTCACACGCACGTTTTTTGCTTTTCGCTAAGTAGGAGGGAGACCCGCGATTATCGCTTTGTCACGCATGTCTCATTGAAAATGAATGGAGGAGAGGCGATGTTGCCTCCCGTGTGTCGAGCCCTTGAGGAAGCGCCATCAGGGGAGTCATCCGCCCCGACAGCAGCAGATCCACAGCAGCCGAGGCACCGACTCGGGGAGCCCAGGGCAGGGAGGGCGGAGACCCCCACCTCCACCCAGGCACACCTGGAGAGCACCCAGGCCGCCACAGACGACCACCGCCCCCGGGGCAGAGGGCTCCCACAGAGGAAACACTGGAAAAAGAGGGAGAGCTCATATAAAACTGGTGACTAAATTCTGAGGGTTAAATATTGTAAGGACCAGGTCTTCTGTGGGTGATGGTGTGGTGCTTTAGAACGAAATAATCTCCAATGTGAATGTCACCATTTTACTGTCGCAACATCTCCCCATACAAGGTTTACAACAAGAACGTTTCTCGCTCTGAGGAGATATTTCTGCTTTATTCATTTCCTCGCTTTGACAGAAATATGCTTCCTTGTGTAGGGAAAAGTTGTGTTTTTCATCTCCAAAAAATGTAAATCATATAATATTCAACAATATATCATCAGAAGATTTTCCATTTTTGGCTAACTAATTATTACGCTTCCTCCTCCGTGTCATTGCTTTAGATTGCTGCACAATGGTTGATAATAGCAAGTAATGAGAGGAAATAATGAATTAAAGAAGCTCGTTAAAGCCGCTTAAACTCATCTCAGGGGCTGTGAAGACATTTAATTATTGCTGTCTAATATGGACGGAGACATTAACCAGCACTCCAAATCTCATTGTTGGAGATGTTGTGATCCCTAAATCTGTCATTTTGGGTCAGAATCTGCTCCTAGAACGTGTTCAGGTAAGTCTAGATTTCTGTCATGTGTAAAACCTGATTACACCTGAGTTATCGGGCAGAATTAGAGGCTAAAATTATAGTCTTTACCAAGATAAACCCTTCCACTGTCTGAGTAACCTAGAAAGTAAAAATATCCTCCATCAGGACTTTCCCACTGGCCTGTTTGTGAAAGCAGCCAAGCAGGAGAAGCCCCGACCCTCCAGATGGCCGGTCTGTCACCGGTGGTGAATCAAAATCACAACGGATCGGTTGTTTCACCTTTTGAAAGTTAGAACAGCATAAGGCTGAATGACTCATTCACGTCGCGTGAGTTAGTGATTAACACGCCGGCAGATAGCCACCAAACACACTGACATCACGCCCTAGTTTCATCACGGCACTAATGTGTGGAGCAACGGCATTAACCACGGAGACGCAACGGTATGAGAACATGGTGAATTAGAAAAAAATCAAAATTAGACGAGTTTTCAGTAGAATTTATTGTAACGAAGCATTTTAGCTGATTCATGCAGGATCACTAGTCATGGTTGCATTACTGTCTTACCACTGTAGGTGACAACAGGGTTTTATTGTTTATCAAGTCATTTTCATTCATTCATTATTGTTACAGTAAATTCACACAAACTACAAAAAAATATACACAAAAACAAACGTTTTTGATGCCACTGCTAATCACGGCTAGGCTAAACAATGCTAATGTCATTAGCTCAGGGCAGCCAACTCTCATGCATTGGACCTGAGACACACATTTGATCCTCTACCCACCGTTTCACGCCACTCCTCCAATATCTCACTCAGAAGGAACAAAGTTTGGCTATTTGGTAAGTAGCAGCTACGCTAGAGGGAGGAGATACTGTGGTGACGTCATATGTGCGATGTACCAACGTCTGATTTGTAGTCATGCTAATTACAAACTTTTACAAGCTGATAAATGTCAGAGTACAAACCGATAGAGGGCTCTGGTTGATCCACCAAACCAACAGAGGGCTTTGACTGGTTCACCAAATTGATGGAGGACTGCGATTGATCCACCAAACCGATAGAGGGCTGCGATTGATCCACCAAACCGATAGAGGGCTGTGATTGATCCACCAAACCGATAGAGGGCTGTGATTGATCCACCAAACCGATAGAGGGCTGTGACTGGTCCACCAAATTGATAGAGGGCTGTGATTGGTCCACCAAACCGATAGAGGGCTGTGATTGATCCACCAAACCGATAGAGGGCTGCGATTGATCCACCAAACCGATAGAGGGCTGTGATTGGTCCACCAAACCGATAGAGG